CATCATCATCATCATCATCATCATCATCATCATCATCATCATCATCATCATCAAAAACAATAACAATAACTACATAACTATAACAACAATAATAACAATAGCAACAACAACAACAACAAATCAAAAAGAAAAACAACAACAAAAATAACTTTAACAATAATAATATGATAATGGTGACGATGGTGGTTGTGGTGATGTTGTTGATGATGATTTTTTGTTTCTTTCCTTATTATGCCTTGTGGCCTCTACGAAGAAATCTTCGAGCTAGAGCGAGGCTCTTTTTCGGCTCCATTGTCATTATACTCAGAGGCATCTCCACTCGTCCACATAACTTCATTCGAATTGTCATTGTTCCTGGACATTCAAACATCTTTGACATCATACTTTTCATGGTTGCATCTTTGGCAACGTGGGTTGAGCTGTTCATTCACAAAGTTATGATGTCATGTCATGCTCCAATGATGGTCCGATCGCCTTCTCGCTAGCTCAACCTGGTCCCAGCGACATGCGATTAATTGTTCCTTCTTATTTGAGTATCCAGAATATACATCCTCTAGGTGCTGGTACTCAGCTCTGCATGGTGGGTCTCTGATTCCCCTCTTGATCATTGTAAAGACTCCTCTGTATGTTATTGGTCGTCTGTCTCCTTCAATCTCTCTGGCTTCATTGGCAGCTTGCTCTGCTGCCTGATTTCCTTCGATTCTAACATGACTTGGAATCCACTGGATCTTTGTTGTGGCTGAGGTTTCACTGAACTTGCGGCCCAAATCATTTATATCTGAGCGGTTGCCTAGCAGTCCCTTGCAGAGGGACTGACTGTCAGTCAAGATCAGCAATTGGTTCTACTGTGGCAATTGACAACAATCCATTGTGCAGCTGACATCATTGCCAGGCATTCCTCGTCATAAGATGATGTGAGGAATGCACCTTTAGTTCTAATGATTTCTGTTCGTGGTGGTTCATCATTCATTATCACTACCGCTGCTGCTCCACCTTCACGGTATCCTGCGACAGCCGACCCATCAGTGAAAATTGTCACATCGGCACCAACCTCCCTGATTTCATCCTCCACAGCTTCACGTGCTTTTTCAGGATCATCACCTTTGCTCTTCACTCCTCTCAACTGGATTTCGATTTCGCCACGGGTCTCCCATTGACAAGCTCTCACCAGATTTGTGATGATGATGATGATGATGAGGATGATGATGATAATGATGAGGATGATGAGGATGATGATGATGATGATGATGACGATGATGATGAGGATGATGAGGATGATGATGATGACGATGATGAT